GTCTATGTGCATATTTATATTGAACGACCTCAAGTCCATCATTTCCATATTCATATCTATACGCATAATTTTACTGAACGACCTTAGGTCCATCATTTCAAATATTCACATCTATGCGCATATTTATACTGAACGACCTCAAGTCCATGTAATCTAATGATTTCATTACAGAGTCTAGCACAATCAGACGAATAAAATGCTCATTCATAATTCGAATTCACAAATCCAGAAAACTTACACATGAGTAGTATTTTAAAAAATAGCATATATGAACATATCTTTACTAAAGTATTACTCACCATGTTCCGGTGTTTGATTCGTCCTTGTACTCGACCCTACATAATTCACAACACATTGGGTCATAATACCATTCAATCCGTTCTTTAGTGTGCTTAACATTCTTAGGCTTCTTTCGTGTCCTTTAATTCATTTGCTATGTTCAATGCATGTCTAAGAGTGCTTAGAAATGAAAGAGAACAAAAAATGAAACGAAACGAAACGTAAAGCAACTTTTCAAAATTTCTGAAACAGGGCTCTCTGCTCAAGCATAGCTTTTCTCGCTCGAGCGGACCCCTTTGGTCTGTAAAAGTACTGGTTGCCTCATTTTTGTGCTCGAGCATGACTTTGGTCGCTCGATCCAAGAGTCATAACTTGTGAGTGGGTGTTCGAACGGTCACTAATGTCTGCAAAACTTCTGGGATCTAGCATTCTACGCTTGAGCGACGCTTTCCTCGCTCGAGCGGACATGCCGAATTATGGAATTTCCAGAATTGTGTTTAAAGTTCAAAACTTGATTCTAAAACTCAAAACTCACATTTTTTTTGTACAAAAACATGGTAAACATTACATGACATGGAAATACTTCAAACTTTAAAACCAATTACTTGAAATCATGGACCAATTTCCAAAATCAAGTTCAAATCATTCAATTCTATGTTCATAACTTCGAGACTCATGCATGTATGACCTTACATGCATGCATCATCTTCAAAACATGTAATTGGGCCTCATAATCTCATTATTTATGGATGCAGGTCTCAATGACTACTAATTCAACTTGTTTGTCATGTCTTATACACAAACATGGACATTCATAGCAATTTGTTACATGCATGTACATATTAATCACAGTTTCATCATTTCCAACTCAAATCTTGTTCTTAACTTCATATCCTCTTTGAATTTTCTTGGCTATGAATTTAAACTCATGAATGTGAGTTCAATTATTCACCTAGAGGTTTCAACCTCTCAAATTTTAGCTTGATTTTCAAATATAAATTATAATTTGTTTACATAATTGTCCAAATTTAAATTTAATTCATATTCTTTATATCAAGCCTTATTTTAAACCCACAGATTCTAAAACATGAATTGAGCTTTCAAATTTAATTTCAAGAATTGGGTTCATACATGGCTTGTCTGAAAACACATTAACTTTTAATTAATCAAGAAAATATGATCAATTTTAAATCATTTACATCAAAACCCCTTTAATTTAATAATTGAACTCATTTGTTCATAAACTCATAATTTTCCAAAGTTTAATTCTTATTTCATCAAAACATGAAATTAATTCTAAGAAAGCTATGATGCATGTACAATTAGACCATTAAGACTTGTAGGATTTGTCCATGCATGTAGAAATTAGACTCAATTCATGCATGATATTCCAAAATCAATCCCAAAATAATTAATTTCTAAATTAACTTCAATAAATTTGAATCTAACTCCATTGCATGGATCAAATCTTCAATACATCATTGTTGCATGTAATTTATGTAACACAATTCAAGAATAATTCTCAAAATTAAACTCAAACTTAACAAATTCAAAGAATCATAACTCATATTTTTCAACCTAACTTGATTTTACATGCTAAATCCAATTTCTATCAATTTATATAATTAATCTTCAAATCTTCATTTTTAATCCTCTCAAAATCCATCTTGAATCAATTTATGTCTAGATCATTTAAACAATACTAGAATGATGATGGAATTTCTTACCTTAAGATGATTTTTCCACAATTTTTAGCTTGAATTTTGGTATCCCACAAAACCCTCTTCTCCTTTGTTCTTCCTTTCTTCTTGAACTTAAACTCAATTCTTCATTCCTTTCTAACTCCCAGATTTCCAACACATTGCATTACCCTTGTCTTTGACTTCAACACTCACTCCCTCTCTCTCAGTTTCTTTTTCTTCCAGCAAGGAAATTGAAAGCATTCCCTCAACATAATACTTATATACACACTACAAATCTAGTTTCTCAGTACACCCACCAGATGTTCTCTGCACACACATACTTCTCTGCACACACTCACATATATATTCTCAAACTCTAAATCATTCTACAATTTAATTTATGGTTAAGATTAATTTAATTAAATAACTCTTATTCTTAATAAATCTTGATTAACACATAATTAAATTAATTATAACTAATCATAAATCCTTCATAATTTAATTTATCTAATTGACTTCCTTTAGAGCCCAATTAAATATATTAAGATTTATTATTCTGAATCAGATTTTTAATCAAACTTCCAAACGGCTCCAAATATTAAATTAAACTTATTTTCATCCTCAATTTTGGTTTCTTAAATCATTAAGGCTTTCACTTTCATATTAGACTTCAAAATCTTCGCCAATAAATTGCATACTCAATTGAATACCTCACAAATAAATTTAATTCATAACAACCTTAATTCCCAATTCTCATAACTTAATTAACTCCAATTTGGACCCAATTAATCCAATCTCAATTTTACAAATCTAAATCGAATATTTAATTAAACTCTCATACAGTCCGATATTCGAAATTGAAATAATTCAATTCCCCAATTATACTTTCTTGAGCCATTTAGGCTTTCAATTTCGAATTCCAAAATAAATCCTTATTAAAATCAAATATGAATCAAACTCCATAATTCTCATAAATCCCAAATTGCCTTAGAGTAACAACCAATTAGAATCCAAATCTCCTTAATTAATTAATCGTAAAATCACAATATAACTCACGTAACTAAACATACAAATTCATATCAAACACATAATCACATGCATAATTAAGTATATTATGGATTGAATTGTGGGAGCCAAATTTTAAAGGAGGCATACTTTAACAGACAGGTATTGCTTGGCTCTGTCCAGAACAATCAGGATGCCGAATATAAATGGTAGATAGGTCGAATAGGTACTGAGCTATGGAGCTGAGTAAATATGAACATAATGAGCGAAAAGTGGACCTGGCCTCGAGGCCCAGAGAACGGGTATAAATAAAGGAATAGCAGACTGAAAAAGGTATGTGATAATTGTGGTGTTTAACTTAGAATACAAGTAATCTAGAACGGGAGACTGACTTGTCCATCGGAGTGCTAATTCTGGCACCCCCGACCGGAGTGTTTACTTCCTTTCAGGTGCCTATCGGAGGATCATGAGCGTCCCCCAAGATCAGAAAAGTATTTCCTAAAACCACTTCCCCACAATTGGCACCGTCTGTGGGAATACTCAACCACATCCATGGCGGACGCGACGGAGGACCCTCCAATAGTCACTGATGACACCACACAAATAGACGACTTCACTCCAACAAACACGCACGGATCGGAGCCTAACTCAGTAAGACGTGCTTTGAACTTCGGTTCACCTTTGACTCCAGAACATGAGGCAATGCAAGCGATCATAGAGTAGGCAAAGCAAAACGAGCAGCGGTTAGAGAACATGATCGCTGAGAACGAGTGTCTCCGTCAGGATTTGGCACTGGAGGTGGCAAAGTCCAAACAAGCCGTGCACCAAGACCTGGAGCGACCTCTGAAAGCAGGTGGTTGACGACCTCGAGCCCGGAAACAAGACACTGATAGCGACTCCGACTCACTATTTTCGGAGTCCAAAAAGAAAGGACGACCTACAACTTCCAGCTCCTCTGAAGAGAGCCCACGCGTAAGGCATAAGCACAGAAGAAACGGCTCAGATAACGAGGACCAGCATGATCCTTTTGTGCGACGGATCGCAAGGGCAATCTTGCCCAAAAAGTTTAAAGCTCCGTCATTTACTCTCTATGATGGCAAGTCAGACCCCACTGATCATATCTGCCACTATAAGCAAGCCATGACATTGCATGCAGATGACGAAGCCCTCATGTGCCGAATATTCCCCAGCAGTTTGGGACCACTAGCTGTCAGGCGGTATTACAAACTGGAGCCGGCTTCGATCAAAACCTTCCACCAATTACAGAAGTCTTTCAGGACCAGATTCATCACAAATGAGGTCTAATCGAAACAAGCCGACTCTCTCTGGGCAATGCAAATCCTGCTAGGAGAGACGCTAAGAGCATATTCGGCACGATATTGGGAATGCTTTAATCTTGTAGATGATGCTTGCAATGACTCCATGGCCATCACCACCTTCAAAATGAGACTACACCCAGATAGTGCCCTTCGTAGTTCCTTGACCAGAAGACCCCCAAAAACAGTCTGGGGGTTGATGAAGAAAGTAGAAGATGATGTTTTGCGGGTTAAAGCCGGACATAGTACCACCAAAACGGCCCCCCCTGAGATTGCCCAGCCAATAAGTTTCGTACCTCCTCAGAGCCATGAACCACGTCAGTGGACTAAACGAGATAAGAAGCGAGATTCTCGCCGACCAAGCGATCAGTGCCCACACCGAACAAATGAGCAACTGCAAGTTGATAATAGGCGCACAAAGCGCGCCAACAAGAAATATACGGAGCTGTTAGATTCAATCAGCTCGATTATGTCCCAAATCCAACATCTTCCATTTTTTAAATGACCATCCAAAATGGTGGGATCTCCCAACACGAGAAGACGGGACAGACGGTGTGAATATCACAAAGATCACGGTCATGATACGGACAACTGCTATGCTCTGAAAGACCACCTTGAGGAATTGGTGCAAGATGGTTGGCTTCAATAACACGTACGAAAGAACGTAATCATAACTGTTGCCCTTCGGCAGGATTCACCCCCGCTCGGCATCATTCATATGATATACGACCTTCCAACGCCACTTGCCGTACACGCAATTCAAGCCCCCCAGAAGCAACGCACACCATCGACGCAGCCCCATGAAGCTCCGAGTATTATCTTCAACGATTCTGATCTTATCGGCGTAACACTCCCCCATAGTGATCCATTAGTCATTGAGCTACACGTAAATCGATTCGTCGTTGAACGCGTCTTCATAGACCAAGGAGGCACTTCAGAGGTTATGTATTACGAAACCTTCGTCAAACTCGATTTCAATCAATCAGACCTGTCTCCGGCTCCCCATCCATTGTTTGGCTTCAACGTGAATCCAGAGTATCCGTTGGGGAAGATCATACTACCCGTTCGAGTCGGCTCCCGAACAATGGATGTAGAATTCTTGGTCGTCAAGCTCCCATCGCCGTATAATATCATCATGGGGTGAACTTGGTTGCATGCTATCCAAGCCGTGCCTAGCACCTACCATCAGCTGCTGAGCTTTCCTACCCAACACGGTATTGAGCAAATCCGTGGTTCCGGCACTCCGCACCAGCATTCTGTCCCCCTCCCGAAATACCAAATCGAAACATCCTCGACTAACACGGTCATCATCAGAAGGATTCCATATCGACTCAGAAACACGTTACGACCCTGGAACTCGAGAATTGTCATTAAACTTGACTTGTGGGGAATGATCTCAGTTCTAAAATGATTCTCCATGTACATATTCCTCCTTTGTAAATGCAAGGATTCTTGTTGGGCAGATATAATCCCATCTTCTGCAAAATCTAATTAAAAAGGGAATTTCGACCAAAAAGCCCCCTCGGCGCATGACACCGTTGGGCTGATAAAGCCTCCAGATTCGGAGCGCCCTTCGTGGATATCATGATTGGCCAAGTAAAGCCTCCGGATTCGGAGCCCCTTTGGCGCATGAGGCCGTTGGGCAGATAAAGCCTCCGGATTCAGAGCGCCCTTCGTGGATATCACGATTGGCCAAGTAAAGCCTCCGGATTCGGAGCCCCCTCGGCGCATGACGCTGTTGGGACGATAAAGCCTCCGGATTCGGAGCCCCCTCGATGTATAACGCCGTTGGGATTATAAAGCCTCTGGATGTGGAGCCCCCTCGACGCATGACGCCGTTGGGTCGGTAAAGCCTCCGGATTCGGAGCCCCCTCGGCGCATGACGCTGTTGGGACAATAAAGCCTCCGAATTCGGAGCCCCCTCGGCGCGTCACGCCGTTAGGCCAATAAAGTCTCCGGATTCGGAACGCCCTCGGTGTATAACGCCGTTGGGTCAATAAAGCTTCCAAAAGCCGAATAACATTCTGAATTCGGAGCGCCTTCAGTGCACATCAGAGCAGGGAAATGTAACTCGAGCTGGCACAATGGCATAAACGTAACAAAACGTGCCAACACTCGAAATAAGATTCTTAAATTCACAATGAAATACAAACTTTTAAAATAAAACATTTTATTCGATTAAACAATAATTACAAAAACGCAATTCGCGTTCGAGCATTACAAAGTCTACTTTCATACGGCGTCACCTTCATCCTCATCCTTCTCAAATTTCGAAGGCAAAAGAGGGGAAGTGGTCGTAAAGGTACAGCGGCAGCGCCGAATCGACGCCCGCTGCCCAGAGAGCATCCGTAGCTCAAAATTCTTCGATCTTACCGTGCTTGAACCCACAATATTCACACTGGCACGACAATCATCCTCAAGGTCGAGAGCCTTGACACCATAGACAATGTCAAGAACAAGATCCAAGACAAGAAAGGAATTCCCCACGAAACCAGTAAAATTCAACGGTTGTAGCGCTGCGTCGGCCTCTTCCTTCCTTCGGGGTGATCTGCTTCGACGACTTGAAGGTCGACGTTCTTCCCGTTCTTTGAACACCCCACCCCTCGCACGGGTGGGTTCCTTGCTGCGATTCATTGCAGTGTCAAGTTCAGCCAAGGTTCGAGCCCCTCTTCTGCTGTTGAAGAAAATTCCATTTGACATTCACATTTGTCTACCCCATGCAACAAAGTTGTTTTAAAGCAAGTCTGAACATAGTGAGTGAAATTACTAGGGCGAAAAGTCCGAGGCAATCTATTTTTAATCCTTGCGGTGACCCCGAAGCAACGTCATTAATACTGAACTCCAAAAGACGGATGCCAATAGATGTTGGCCATAGCCATTCCATGTACTGATTTTTGGCTTTTTTGAGTTAAAATGGACTAATTATGGCAATTAAAGATGGGATGACAGTTTCCAAATTCGAAGCCCCTGGAGCATGGCACATTTGGGCCAATTAAGCCTCCGAATTCAGAGCCTCATCGACGCATCACGCCGACCGATACAAGTCTCTGAATTCAGAGCCTAGTCGGCAGAGCGATCATGACAAGCCGGTACGTAACCGTTCGAAATTAAATGACTACTTGAGCCAAACAATGTTTATACAATGAAAACATATGCAAACACATGTGCGCCGAATGTGGATTACAATGAAACATTTAAAATAGGACGTTTTATTCAATCAAGCAACAATAACACAATTACATAGTATTTTTATACGGCGTCGTCCTCATCATCACTCTTCTCGACTTCAAAAGCAGAAAACGAAAAATGATTACGTTGGTAGAGTGGCAGCGCCGAATCAATTCCTGACGCCCAGAGAGATTCCACTGCTTGAGATGCCCTGATCCAACCGTGCTTAAAGCCATGATTCTCACATTGGCAAACTTCTTCGGCGAGCTTCTCTTTGGTCTTCTGAATTCCGACCAGTCGGCCGTCATGAAAGCCCTTTTCATAGGCCACGTTTCTTGCAGTCTCGATCGCAAACATGCTCGTTGTATTACGATCGGCGATCGCATCACTAATCAGCCTTTGAGTAACCCTCTCTACGACAACTGGGTTGGGGGGGTGACGCAGGCTTGTTTTTCCTCAGCTCGCGCTCAGCCTTTTCGGCGTGAGCTTCTAACTTCCGAATGCGTTCGTCTTTCTGTTCTATGTCCCGACGAGCGGCGCGGAGACGCATACCGATCTCATAAGCTGTGTAAAGTCCCCTCACCACCCTGTGAATGCCTTCACGAAACACTTCAAAGTCTGGACAGCCTACCATTGACTGCTGAACTTCGGGCGGAAAAATCTGTCGAGCAAACTCGACTGCCACATTTGGGTCTCGAATGATGGGATCTACCTCTGTCATCGGTCTGTTACCCATGAAGACTACAAAACTCAATGGGCGAGGAGTTGCGTCGGATTCCCTTCTAAGATGAGATTGAAGAAACTTATGCTGTGGCTGACTATCGCTCCTAGGCGATCAACTTCGACGTCGAGGAGATTGGTGTCTCTCCTGACCCCTCGACGTCCTACCGCCCGTGCGTGACAGTTCACCGCTTCAATTCATGGCACCTCTCAGCTCAGCTAGCGTCTTCGCTTGACCTCTGCTATTGAAGAAAAGCTTATTTGACATTCGCACTTGTTTCGCCTTCCTCAAAGAGCGGGACTGAGATTCTCGTTTAGCACGTAAATAAGACCCTCGTTCACGAAGTACACGCCCATTTATTCCCTACAAGGGCAGCATCTCCGAGGCTACCTCATTAATAATGAAGCGTCAATAGCCTATCCTGTACCGTACTGTACTAGTCCCAATCACCCCAATCGCCAACTGAACCAAGCCCCAATCGCCCCATCAACCGCTGATATACGGCGTTCTCAGTTCATGAACCATCTAGGCAAGGGCAGATTCATCAATCTATACGGCTCGAGTGCCCCAGCGATTCCACGAATCGATTCTTATGTGCAAAATTTATTACGATTTATTCGGCGTTCTACGTTTGTGAACCAGCTGGGGCAAAGGCAGATTCATCAATCTATACGGCTCGAGTGCCCCAGCTGTTCCGCTAATCGATTCTTGCGTGCAAAATTTATTACGTTTTATTCGGCGTTCTACGTTCGTGAACCAGCTGGGGTAAGGGCAGCTTCATTAATCTATACGGCTCGAGTGCCACAGCCGTTCCACGAATCGATTCTTGCGTGCAAAATTTATTACGATTTATTCGGCGTTCTACGTTCGTGAACCAGCTGGGGCAAGGGCAGATTCATCAATCTATATGGCTCGAGTGCCCTAGCCGTTCCACTAATCGATTCTTGCGTGCAAAATTTATTACGTTTTATTTGGCGTTCTACGTTCGTAAACCAGCTGGGGCAAGGGTAGATTCATCAATCTATACGGCTCGAGTGCCACAGCCGTTCCACGAATCGATTCTTGCGTGCAAACTTTATTATGATTTATTCGGCGTTCTACATTCGTGAACCAGCTGGGGCAAGGGCAGATTCATCAATCTATACGACTCGAGTGCCACAGCCGTTCCACGAATCAATTTTTGCATGCAAAATTTATTATGATTTATTCGACGTTCTACGTTCGTGAACCAGCTGGGGCAAGGGTAGATTCATCAATCTATACGGCTCGAGTGCCCCAGCCATTCCACTAATCGATTCTTGCGTGCAAAATTTATTACGTTTTATTAGGCGTTCTATGTCCGTGAACCAGCTGGGGCAAGGGCAGATTCATCAATCTATACGGCTCGAGCGCCCCAGCTGGTCCACGAATCGATTTATCTGAGCACTAGTCTTGAATTCATTTTGTTTCTGACTAAATCAGATCCCTAATTTTAATCGGCCATTTGGTCTGCCGTCTCACGCATGCTTGACATTTTGTTCTAACTACTGACTCTCCTAACTATACGCTCATATAACAGACAAAACGGAAAATAACTTGAGAGCATATAAAATTTCATTCATAAACTGGGCGCTAGCAGCGGACATTTTACATATGAAAATCCAAAAAATGTACATTGAATATACTTAATAAAACCAAAATGTCTCCCAAATCAATCCTCGGGATCAGACTCAAGTGGCTCAACGTCTACTTGCTCGTATGGAATTGGCACGGCCAATGTAGCTCCAACAGCAGCAAGGGCTTTGAGCCACCCATGTTTGAATCCCCGATTTTCGAATTTGGGGACTTCGTCTACATATTCCTTGAAGGCGGTGCTCTTCCCAGCCTCAAGCGCCGTAGAAACTTCGGATTCAGCTTTTTCCTTGGTCGCCTTCAACTCCTTTAACTCAGCCTCTGCCTTAGCAAGCACCTCCTTGGCTAACTCGAGCGATTCCTTGCTCGCGTTTGCCCTATCCTCGGCTTCGGATCTGAGCTGGTCAGTAGTCTAAGCCCTTTCCATTTCCGCTTCGGCTTGCACATTTTCCATAGCGGCCCTCATCGCCTCGAACTCGGCCCTGCTCCTTTTACCATCAACTTCAGACTGTAAGCGGCCAATTCCTTCGGCGGCATCATGCTGCGGCGGCCTAGTTCGGCTATCCTTCTAGCCGTCTGCAAAACAAACCGAGATCATCACATCAAGCAATATAGTGTGCAAACCAAATCAAACGAGTAGAAAA